ACCACAGCTGTAAAAGTACATTTTCAGTACAACCTTGTTACAAATATCCATGCTAGAAAGCCACTTCTCTTTGGTGTATTCCATTTAAACACTCAAAAAAGTTAGTGGTTAGTCTTAACCTATTAATACGTATGGGATCTCACTTCCATTATTCAGTTTTGGTCCTGATGTTTCAGGAATATCAAGGTGAATTTAACATGCTGTGAGAAGGACCCCGAGTTCACCGCCCAGGCCTGACTGTCCCTCTCCTCATGCCCAAGACTCCAGGTCAGCCACATGGCCCTGGCCCAGAAACACCACAGCAGGGCCAGTCTCCAGCTCCCGACAGCCCTGCCCAGCCATCACCATTCCCAGGAGTTCCCAGTAGCCAGCACTGGGGCTCTCCTGGTCACCTGTGGCTGCCCTGCTCCTCTCTGGGGTGGTGAGACAGGCCATGGCTGCCAGGCCCTGCCATTGCCCACCTGGGGACATGCTGTTCCCTGTGCCACAGCAGTTTATAGCCTTGCTGCAAAAGCACTTGGAAGATGCCCTTAAATTCTTCCCATTTGCTTTGCTGAAGGAATCCCTGCATTTAGAATGGATCCAATTTAATTCTTAAAATCCTGGTAAAATTTTCCTGGAGTATTACTTTTAAATGAAGCAGTGCTATCTGTTGGAGATGAACACAAATGCTCTCAATACATACAGTCCAGAAATAAATGAAAAAATAAAATGTTTGTGTAAAAATACTTTGAGCAGAGATTCCGCTTCCCTTTTCTTTGGCATTGTGACAAAGACAGTCCATTGCTTCTACTCTGGGAGATTTTGGAAAGCTCTGCCAGAGGCGCTGTGGAGAACGAAGCTACTCTGGATTGTGGCTAATTTTAAGAAAAAAAAACCAAAACAAAAAAACAAACGGCTTTCACTTTAAAGTAATTATGTGTATGACAACAAGCAGAATGCCCAATACAAGGAGCTATTTCTGCAGTTCTGAGTGCACTTAAAACACCTCTTCCTTCAGGAGGAATGCAGCCTTCCCCATGTCCAGGCAGTTGTATTTAAATGGTTTGGGCCAGGACATTTGGGAGGAACAGAAGAAAGAGGCTGGAGAGTTTTTATCTGACCTGAATCAATTCATTTCAATTCATTATAATATTAATACAGTGCAATTGCTGATGCATTTACTTTTTATTGCTTAGACTTAGTTCTTCACCATTTTGCTTACCTTTGGGGTATTGCTCAGTTCAGCCACCAACTGAAATGAATGCCAGTAACACTGAGTTCTGACAGAAGTAAAAAATCTGTCCTAAAGTGGAGTACTTAAAAAATTGGCTGTATGAACTTTGTCTTGAGGAATGGTTGTATGATACAGCCCAGATTACATGAAGGCTGTGTCCCAAACATCTTATTCTATCCCATGACCATCTGCCATGGCCCTTTTATTTGATTAACTTTATGAAGAGGATAATGGACACCTTTTTGCGATATAGAAAAGTAAACAGAGTGAAGCTGTAAGATCTTGTATTGGCTAGCAACAGTCCTGCTAAAAGCATCTGCAGTGTAATTTATGCACATACTTCATTACAGCAAACTTTCTTTGCAATGAGGTGTCCGGGTAGTGAAAAATAACTTCAACATAAAAGGAAAATGGGGTTGTTATTACCACTCATTTCATCCTCATAACCTCACACTGGTGTTAAGTTTTATATACAAAACCCATCAACTGTATTTTTAAGTACATCTTACCTCCAGGCCTTTCTCCAGGACTCAATTTGTACCATTTTCTTGTCCTTTAATTTTATTTGCAGATTTATCTCTTAACATGGTAACAGTAGCAATTTCCCTCTTCATCTAGGTCACACAAACAAAATATTACTTCCAAGATAAACTGACACTTAACAAAAAATAAAAAAGAAGATTGTCTTTTTCTGGGTAGAATTTTCTACCAAACAAACTGTCAAGGACAGATAAAGTAATCTAAAATAATAATTTATTTTTTTTCAATATTTTCTTCATAAGGCAATGTTGCAAATTTGTCATCTGTGAGAAACTTTTCTAGAGATCTGCTTGACCATTTTTTTTTAATATATAAAAACTTTTTTTTTTTTTTTTTTTCTGAATAGAAGAGAATGAAATTCAAACTATTTTGGTAATGTCATTATTGTCCCAGCAATTAAGCAGTTGGTGTGATACAGGTCTGTCCCACAAAAACCTTTGAGCAAGAGCTATCCTCCTTTACTGAAAACAAATAGATTTCAGTCATACTCTTAGAGACCCTTTTGTGAACCAGGTTGATGAGGCCACACATGATGATATGCTGTACATTCCTTGTTGGTTTGAAGAGCAAGTATTCAGCCAGCCTTAGCTCTCTGTAACATACATAGAGGACATCACCTCCCGCAGGTCAGACTCCCACACTGAATAATCCACATACAGCCTGGGTAGCTGTTAGCACTTAGTTTGTTCTGTCATGTCTTAGGAAAATTGTAAAACTAAAGATACTGAAGTTGGAAAGGATTTTGTCAGAGGGAGCATTTCTCAAAAGAGAGAGGTTTAGATGGTGGTCTAAAGATTGAACCATGGATGAGGATCCCCTCATTCTTAGTGTTGATGACACCGAGATGTACTTTGTCTCAGTATCCAGAGTCATGGCTGGTCTTACACAGGTGGGTTAATTTTGGAGGAGAAGTGGAAATTTAATAAACAATTGACAGGAAAAAAATCATGCAAGTTTCCATTTTTAGTTCTTTAAGTAGTCTAGGCTAGTTAAAGAATATTATGGAAAACTATTCCCAGTGGTTCCAACACCTTTTCTGTCTTGACCTTTTTTTTTTTTGCTATTTTGTTCGCTGAAACCAAGTTTAATTAAAATGATGATAAAAATGAACTTGGGAGTTCAGCCTTTACCAAGTCTCAAAAGAGCACTATTCCGTGACTCATACAAATTAATGATAGTCTGTTACTGAGGGCTGTTTTTGTCCCATTCTGATACAGACAAAGTTAAACAGGTTTTCAAGGCAAACAGAAGTTGAATTTTTGATGTGAAACAATCATAAAAATACACGGTTTTAAAATAAAATCATTTTCATGCCTTTTCTGTTGCAGGTTGCCTTTGAGGAAAGTTCTGTTCAAATAACCTATTGAAATTACTTCCTGCAGTAGACTTCTAGTCTGACTTCTTAACAAGCTGGTCTGATAGATGTTTTTTAGAGTCTGAAGTTATGTCTAGTAAATAATATAATTCCTCTAGGTCCCCTGGTCAAGGAAATTGGCCAACTGAATAGGACTCAAGAGACCTAAATTCTATTCCAAATTTCAAGGTTAGCCTTCTGGGAAACTTTGTTATCCAAAAAATAAAGCAAATTATATTGACTGGTTTTGTGAAGGGATGTGAAATCTGTTTATGAAAAATTCTGCACAGAACCTACTATAATATTGCTATTCTTATTATCAAGAGAAAGAGCTCCGTGCAAAATTGCACAGAATGCCCATTTTCTCCCTGAAGAAGAAAACTAAGAAGAGTGCTTCAGCATGTCTGCTAATGATTAACCATGTCACAGTTACAAATATTTTGTATTATTGGACAGTCTTAGAATGTGTGGTGATAGAGAGTTTTGCCCTCAAAGGCAGACTTTTTGCACAGAACATGCTTTCTCTAGGGATCACTGGCATATGCACACACAGTGGAGCACTGTGCCACCAAGTGTGTTGTCTGTGGATTTCTGATTTGAGCAGAAAGTTGGAGGAAACCCAAAACATAGACCATATGGTCATGCTGGAGGCTGTCCTTCCAGCATGGTAGGGGCATAGCCAAGCACAGCTGGAATATATGCCAAGATTCTTTAAATCTACAAATCTTACTGTCCTCTGCATTCTATCCAGCAATGCTAAGTGCTTTGCAAAACACTCAGCCAGGGGTTTTTTCCCTAACTCTTTTCAAGAAAAGATAAGCAAAGAGCTGGCTGAGAAAATCCAGTTCTCCTGATTCATAAACATGTTTTGTCTATGAAAGAAACAATTTACAGTAATCTGCTACCTAACAGATTTTTTTTCCCCATTAACTTCATTACCTATGCTCTCACGTTAGAAGCCATTTTAATGCTTCAATTTTTTTTATTTTTATTTTCTCTAATGTAACGATAAAATAAGTTGTAGTTGAGTAGCCTGGATTTTAAAGCCAGGGGAATAAATGAGGCTTTATCAAGGAATGCCCATAAGTATATGATTTAATCAGTTACACCTTTGGTGTCACTCAACAGCATTCCAAGAGATGTGGAAATCATCTAGGGAAATAAAAGATGATGGTTCAGGCAGCTCATGTATGCTAATTACCATCATTCTTTTCTTTCCCTTTCCCCCACCGTGTTTCAGCTTCTCCCATGCTCCTTTAGAGAAGGCAACTGATCACTTTCAGTGCTGTAATGGTGTGTTATATCTGCCTGTCTCTGCCCTTAGTTTGCCAGATCTGTGAATGCATGTGGTTATCTGCTGTTTGTGTATGTATTTGGTAGGTTATTTTATTGTGCACTATATGATATATCACATAATGTCCGTGGGGAATAAGAGCCAAACACACAGAATTTAACTCAAGAAGCAGCTTGACTGGCCACTTTTTAATTCTTTGCTTACCGCCATTCCCAAACCCTTTTTTTTTTTCACTGTAGGATGTCATTGTCCTGTATATTCCCAGGATTCCACCTAAGCAACTAGCATTTGGATTTGATTGATATATATTTAGCTTGGAAAAGTGGTGTGCAGCTTCAGTTCATGGTTATCCTCAGGCAATTTCTTATAATATTGAAGTCCATTTCAATTCTGACATCAAGACACAACTCTATCTATTCACTGCTTCTACTGTAGTATCAACTCATTTCCCAAAAGCAGTGTACAGCCTTCTGGCTGAGTATTACTGATAGGAAAGCATACATCATGATATCGGTTAAAGTATCTAGAATTGTGTCCCAATTACTTATTTATTTGCCTTTTTTTTTTTTTTTTTTTTATTCCCATTTCACCACCAGCTGCATTCAGACCAGGATAAAGGAGACGGATCACTTAAATACATCCTTTCTGGAGATGGAGCAGGAGACCTCTTCATTATCAATGAAAACACTGGTGACATCCAGGCCACAAAAAGACTAGACAGGGAAGAGAAGCCTGTGTACATACTCCGTGCCCAGGCTATAAACAGAAGGACTGGAAGACCAGTGGAACCAGAATCTGAGTTCATCATTAAGATCCATGATATCAATGACAATGAGCCAATGTTTACAAAGGATGTTTACAATGCCAGCATTCCCGAAATGTCAGATGTTGGTAGGTGCTAACTAATAACTGATTTCAGTGTCTGGTCTTGCTTCTTTCTGTGGAGTAAGTAAGGGCCCAGAGTTTACAGGTGTTGAATAGAGACATCTGCTGTTTGAGTCTGGACTAAAAGCACCTGATATATAAAAGAAAATAAAAATAAAAATTCAGGAAAATAGTGGCAACAGTTTGTTAGAATCAGAGGTGTCAGCTGGATGAAACATGCTCCCTCTGTTGTACCACAAAAAAATGCAAGTTAATATAATCTGGTTTAATGCCAATGAAAGTGAGTTGAGCTTTGTTACATGGTACCTGAGTTTAATACATACTAGTAATATGGGATTTCATGGTCATCTCTGTCAATACCACTCCTAGATCTGTTCAGCAACCCTTATTTAGTTCAGGAAGGTAAACAAAATGGAAAAGAGAAGGTACATAAGGGGATGTACACACTTCTGTCACCCACTGGTTCTGAGATATGCCATTAGCTTCCTATGACCTTTTTTGTTCTTTCCATACAAAAGAAAAGAGCTCCAAAGTCCCTTGAAGTCCACTGAAATCTTTCTATTGATTTAAAATATATTGAACTATAAAAATTGTCAAGACAAGAAAAAAAATAAAAGAACTTCTCTGGAAAATGATTTTAAGATAAGATCTTTTCCTGAGAAGCTGACAGGTTTTGATTCTTTGATTCTTAGGGAGGTCATTTTGATTTCTTTGTCAGAGAGCAATGGACATTTGAATTCCAAGAAGCACATTTCTAATTTGAAATAATGTCCAGGGAGAGAAGCATTAATTAATCATGATCAACAATGAGATTAAAATTAAGCTCAAGCAATATGAAAATAAAGACTTCGGGGCATACGGTCTCCCCTCATTCATAGGACTTGTTACATTAATGAAAACTCATCTGGTGAAGTGAGAACCTAATATTCACATTTTAATATGTGAACACTTTATTCACAAATGGTTTTAAATGCCAAAATCTAAGCTAATTTTTTATGTTTCTTAACATTCTGTCTAAGATTCAAGACCACTTCTTTCTCTGGAAGACACATGAAGAACCATATTTACATTCTTATGTCAAATACCTTACAAGTATGAGTAGATTTGCAAAAGTATGTTCCTGACCTAGATTCAGATTCTGAACACTTACAGTATCTGGGCAGGGATACATTTCTGTTTCCTTCATGAGAAACATGATGAAGGATCCACATGCCTGATCAATAACTATGTTTGAAGGAGTTGAGAGTAAGACAGGTATCATTTTGAGTTTATGTCCTTCATGACCAGAGAAAATTCTACAAAATAAGAATATTTCTAACTTCTTGCCACAAGTCTGACCTGAACATGAATTATTTTTTTTCTCTACATCATAATCTGTCTTGGCCATGAAAAGAATCTATTAATTTTTGTTTTCTTTAATTTTTCATTTCAGGTACCTTTGTTGTGCAAGTCACTGCAACTGATGCCGATGACCCTACATATGGGAACAGTGCTAAAGTTGTCTACAGCATTCTCCAGGGACAACCATATTTCTCTGTTGAATCTGAGACAGGTCAGGGGACCTTATCTGTCATTCTGTGACAATGTCTGTAATTCAAAATGACACGCTAAGCCGAGCTAGGATATATTGCCAAAAAAAACTTTGAAGAAATTACATCTTACTCAGTGCAAAATCTGACAAATTTAATAGAGCGATACATCTGTAAACACGACACCTACATTATTTTAATCTTACCAGAAAAGTCTAATAAATACAATTAGTACTGGATGTGAACCAGTTTTCAATCATTTTTAACAAGCAGTGGGTACAGAGACTGCAGTGGATGCTTAAATTAAACCAAAGAGGTTGGCTTTTAGATGAAAGAGAGAAACAGGTGGGTGTGGAAAAAAGTGCTTAATCCTCATAGATCTTCATAATGGCTAAATTAAGACTGAGGGTTTGTTCAGGTAAGACTTTTTTTTTTTCTCCGTCTGCTTCTTCAGAACTTGTTTAAAGTCATTATAATTTCTGTACATATGCAACATATCACTTTAATGCTAATTTTATGAAAGAAATCTTAATTAAGAGTAATGATAGAAGAGGTAAAATTGACTGTTGCGCTAAACTAGAAGATCACAAATAGAATCCCAAAGTTCTGAGTTCTGTTTTTGGAAGATGTTTAAATTATACACAGTGACTGGAATTTTTAATGGTCTGACTAACAGACAGCTTTGGAGCCTCTGCATGTACAACATATGTATTCTGTCTGACTGAGTCTGTGTACCATTGACTACCTGACTACATAGTCTCTTCCTAAGATTTTTGACTAATTTTTCCAAAAATAAACCATTTAAAGAAACCCCTTCAGTGTTAACATCCACTGTGTTAGGTTGCTGGAAGCTAGGGAAATCAGTTCTCCTCAGCATCCTTACAGGAAAGAAATAGACTATCCCAGACAACTCATCAGGTTTAGGATTGTTTCTTATATAAATCTTAGCGACTCAGGCAGGGAAGAGGAAGGAGAGACCATATGTCTCAAAGTGAAACTTGAGTTGAAAGCGTGTACACAATTCTGAAAAGAGGGAGAGCCAAGATCAAAGGGATCTTCACTTCAAGCATAAGGTATTAGATAACAGAAGCCAGGATTTTTGCACTGATGCCCTCTTTCTGACTTGGACAGTACAGTATGTGCTCTTCTAGAGTGATAATAAGGATAAAGTAGCTGGGAGTTAACCAGTAATAAAATTCTATCAAGAGGTTTGTGTGGGGGACGGGAAGCTAAGTAAGCCACAGTCTTGAACTTCCTGCCATGGAAATCAATTGCAGAACTAGAGTGAAACATGTCTCTTTCAAAGCCACTGTGAATTTTGTCATGGATTTCACTACTTGAATTTCACCCCTTTCGCCTACAAAGCAGTCAGTTCCTACCTTGAGATACCCAGTAAGAATGCAAACATTTTGTTTCATGGTAAATCTGTATGATTGAATTTCAGTAGTAGTTGGCCTTATAACTGGTATTTGTGCCTTTGAAGAAGGAAGTAACTGGGAAATCATTTCAATCAATGTATAAATAGAAGTATATATACTCAGGCATGTTTGGATGCTCATAATTTTCTTAATTAATTTCTCTTCTTCCATTTATTGTTGCAGCACTCTTTAATGGTGTCTTGCTGAAGTTTTCTCTTTTTTTTACCATATCTGTCAAAATAATGAACAAACATTCTTTTTCCAGTTCAGTGAGAGATTTTAGCATGTTACTGAAAGAGGGTAAATAGTTGTGTAAAATAACATGGCTTACAAATAAATAGAACATCTTTCTGTGGGTACCGCTTGTACTGTGTCTGTCACATAGGCAGGAGCCTGAGATGTGACATGACGAGTCTGTAATTTAATGAACCATCTCATAACAGTAAATATTTGTACTGGGCAAAGTTTACTTACTACACAGAGATTATTTTGTTCTTTTAATAAGAATTTCCATCAAAGTCAGTACCCTTGAACTCCCCACTCTTTAATTTTCATGTTTACAGGCATTATTAAAACTGCTTTACTGAACATGGACCGTGAAAACAGGGAGCAGTACCAAGTGGTCATCCAGGCTAAAGACATGGGAGGCCAGATGGGCGGATTATCAGGAACCACCACGGTGAACATCACACTGACTGACGTAAACGACAATCCGCCTCGCTTCCCCCAGAGTATGGAATATTTACATTCTATGTTCTAACACTAAAATGGACAAAAATGGTTCTTGTTTTGGTTTTTGTTTACCTTAGATATCGTTTCTTCTATTGAGAATTTCCTGAGTATCAAACTTCATTTAGGAAAGCAAAAGAGAACACATAACTAAGCAACAGCATCATGCCAAGGTTAATTGCAATAACTGGGAAATTAATATTTAATATTTTTATTCCAGTTGAAGCTGACAGTCTGACAAGTGAATTAGTGTGCAAAAACAACTTCTATTTTTCCTACCTATTAAATAACTGATCAACGTAATCTGTATTTCTTGTTCACTACTATTTCTTTCAGACTTCGTGATTGATTTCATTTTAAGGTATCTGTTGTAATCAAATATATTTAAGGTTTGAAACAAATGAAGTATGCAAAAATATCCCAAGAGCAATTCTATAGAAATTAGTATTTATGACCAGAAAGCATTTGCTATAATGAACTTTCCTTTATTCTTTGCACACAGAAACAAAAGCACGTACATAAATATAACAGGTATTTCTGCCTATTTTCTTCCCCGTCTCAAATAATTTGGTAGATATCAGTGTCATGCTTACGGCAATCAGTTGTGCAAGCTCTCTTAGAAAGTAATTTCTATTAATGACCATTCATTGCCATAAGGGATTCAAAGTGATTCAGCTTTCATCCTCTTCTCTTTCCCTCTCTCTTTACTTCTTTCTTTCTCTCTATTTTTTTTTTCCCTTTTTCACTTTGTCTAACCACTGCTCTCTGTATGATGTGTGTGTATCACAGTGTCACTGTGTGTCAAAGTCAAGAGCAGCTGTTACAGAAAATAATTGCAGATACTATCAGACAAATCAGTGAGCTTTGGCAGTTAAGTCACTGGGAAAGTTATTGGAAGCAATTTGTCATTTGGGTTCAAAGTCTGTTCTTAGCTGTGGGCAAAGAGTTTCCATTTAAATTAGAGCAACTTAAGAAGAAATATAACACTCTGCACCCAATGAGTTAATTATACATCTCTGGACATAAGTGTCTTTAATGTTAAAGCGAAAGATACAGCTTCATAATACCAACATTCCAAAAGCAGACGGTTTTTTTCCAGCAAAAATTCAATGTAGTACATTTTTAATAGATATTTGAGCTGGATTCAGCTCTGGTGTTACTAAGCTGTTCTAGCTTCTGAAAATTCTTTATATTTGTCCTTTGTCCTTTAAAAAAATACATTTTTCATACACACTTCTTGTATGGTCAACAGAGACCATGAGAACATCCTTCCAGAGAAGGATATTTGTTGCTAAAGTTACGTGTTTGTAGCAAAGCAAAATGCTCATCCTCTGCACAAGAAAACAGATAGAAAAATAAGTAACTTTTACCCACATGAAAGTACGGCAGAAGCTGAAGGCTTTTGCCCCAGGAAGGCCTGTAGACCCAGCGACTCACTAACTCACCTGCACACAGCCAGCGTGGACAGTGGCCTGAGAGATGGTGTCCAAAGCACCTCGAGACTGACCAACCAGATTTCCTAACTAACCAGATTTCCCTCTCTGCTGTAGGCACATACCAGTTCAGAGCTCCTGAGTCTACACCACTCGACTCCCCGGTTGGAAGGATAAAAGCCAATGATGCTGACGTGGATGAAAATGCAGAGATTGAATACAGCATCACTGAGGGGGATGGATATGACATGTTTGGAATTACCACAGACAAGGACACACAGGAAGGAATTATAACTGTGAAAAAGGTACATACTTAATCCCAGCCTCTGAAACAGCAGTCAAACCTTTAGCTAGCACATATTTGGTTTCCATTTTTATTGCAATGTGCATGTTTTACTAATTTGAATTCTATCTGCCGTAAATCTCTACATATGTAAAGTTTCTTTTATGAAAGCAATTGGTATCCTTCCTTTCATACCTCCTTTAATAACCAATGCACAAACTTTGGAGGACCCAAGAGAGAAAATTACTTGAAGCATGGGGTGCAACTGAGAAAAAATCCTCCAGCCTGAAAATACTCACAGAAAAACTCAAGGAAGCTCCACCATCCAACTGTGATTTTCTCCCTATGATGCTTACAGGTTTTGCTCTCTTAGTAGATGATACTGTGTTAAAACCATAGAAATAATGAGTATCACATTGACTGTTTTTCATTATAAGATGTTGATTCTGCAGCTATAATATATTAAAGTACATAGAGAAATTTCTTTTGACTCACATTTTTGTAAAAAGTTAACATGACTATCAGCATGGTTTTGCTGTAGAAAAAAACCCCAAAAAACAGTGCCTTGCGAGATCACAGTGGACATCATCTACTAGGTTGCACAGTGGTTGTCAGAAAAGGTTTGAGAAATATTGTTTGCAGTGGGTTATCAGGCAAGCTTGATAAGGTTACAGATATCATCCTTCATCAATTCAAGTTCAGTCATCACTAGATAGACATTGTGTAGATTTTCCGAACATGCACTTGCTTGTTGATATCAGTACGACACCTGTCATTACTTGTTTTTTAGGAGATGCCTTCCAGGGTCTGATTATGATATCAGTCCAACTCCGTTTGTATTTCTGTCTGTTGCTGACAGAAGCTGTGAATTTTCTACAATGTAATGGAAAAACGAGGTGACTACTCTGATCCCACATTTCTCCAAGTAGTAACAAAGAGTCTCTAAATGCTGTTTCTTCATAGTCTTAACAGTGCGTGCTATAGTCATACCTGCCATAAAATCATGTTTGGCTTTGTAGGTGGTACTGGATATCCAGATGCCACAGTGTTTCATTTCAGTGAGGGAATGCCAGTATCTGAACAAGGAACACCTGGAAAATCTTCCTTCCTTTAGTGTGTGGTTCTTATGGGCAAGAAATAGATAAGAAATCAAAATGCCAAAAAATGACAGAATAACAGACATGAAGAGTTAAGGCTGTATGAGAAAACTGCTTGGTGTTTAGGAGTTGCAGGCATAGAAGTCTTTGAAGAAGTTGGTTTTATTCTAATGTATTATCTGGACATTGAGCCTTCTCTCCTTTCTGGCCTTTCAATTCCAGTTTGGGCTCCTGTTATGTAGCACAGGCCTCTCCGTGACTTCCCACCATTCACCCTGCTCATCTGGCTGAGAATCACAGCAATCCCCACAGACTTCTTAAACTTCTTTTTTCCTTCCCAGGCACTGGATTTCGAAAGTAAAAACTTGTATATTCTCAAAGTGGAAGCCACCAATACTCATGTGGACCCTCGATTCCTGTACTTGGGGCCATTCAAGGACTCAGCTACAGTCAGAATTCAGGTGGAGGATGTAGATGAACCCCCCATGTTCAGCAGACCAGCATACATAATGGAAGTGAAAGAAGATGTTCCATTAAACAGTGTAATAGGAACAGTAACTGCTCAGGATCCAGATGCTGCCAAGAACCCTGTCAAGTAAGCATATACTACTTCAGCTTGCCTGTAAATTTTTTACAGACTTGATTTTGCTTTTATCATGTCAGCACAGACAAAAAAATCCTCACTTGTAACAATGTGAATTGTAGGGCATGCTTGAATATGGAGTATTTTATGTGGTAAATGGTCTCTCACGCTTGAGCATATTTAGGTATGTGTGAATGTGGTTGCATGGCCTTTGCATCTTGAATTTTATCCTAATCTCTTTAGTAACTAATGTATGTGGTTATTTCTACCATGAAAAAATTTACTGCAAGAAGACCACTAAGAAAATCTTAGTACTTTCCTTCCACCTTTAACATTTTCCAGTGCAGCGCAGTGCATCCTCTTGGCAATATGACAGGGGGCTGATTCAGCACCCTTTTCTTCTTCAATCTGTCTGGACCTGCTTAACAGAGACCACATTCATATTTTCTAAATCACAAATAGAAATGCCACAAAATCAGCTCATGTTCACACCCAGGCTCTGACCTCACCTGTATCGGTGCAAGGCTTGTAAGATAAGAGCTCTCATGAGCTTCATAAATTAAACTTGACATGAATCAATTAACTGTTCTGAGAGGAAGTGGAGGAAATGTTAAAGTTGGAGTAGCTATAACTAAGTCTTCTTTTTTTGTATATTGTGTATGGTTTCAATGCATACTGGAGTACATAAGTCATACTGGATAGAGTATTAAAGAACTTTAAAATAGTTGTGTTCTTTAATTAAAGTTCATTGCTAGTGACAAGGCAGCAAGAGGAGGAATTGAAAAATGCAGAACTATTAAATCCAGGTCAGTTTTCAGCAGGTTTCTGAGTAGGGCACCTTGGAAACTCAATAGTAGCTTTTGATCAAGTAGAACAGTGCAGGTTTAATAAAAATCTAGTTCATCAATACTTTACACTTCTGCAAACAATTATCTTTCATCAAGATTTCTTACAGTAATGAGGAAGTTTTAAGCTCTTAGCTCATCGTGTGAGAGCAGTAAATATTATAATTTTAATTTCCTAGATGAACAAGCCTAATCTAAAATGTTTCTAGCAGAAACTATCTTCACTGTGCATAGCATGCCCTACACATGAATTCTTGTTCAAGACTAAGCCTTCTAACTTTAATTAAAGTTTTCTTAAATTTGTATCATGACATGCAGCAATTCTCTGGCATTCTGGGCCAGCAGAGCATAGTCACTTCAAGAGCAGCATAATGCTTTGCTGACTTTGGTGAAGCCCCAGGACAGAATGAACATCTCTTCTAGCACATTTTCATGGGCATGGGCATGCTAGCATGAAGATGAAAAATTGGTTGGGGTGACACCCAGGCCCCTTGCAGTCTTCATAGGAACCTGCTTTTTTATATGTAATGATACTGGGGAGTAAGGGGAGTGCTTCCCTCCTTCCCTGTGGTGATAACTACAACCATTTGCTTTTCACACCAGTACCAGCTCCTAATTATAAGTGATTTACAGTGGAGAGGGACTGTGCTGTTCATTGTTGAGTACTGCCTACCAGCTCTTTGCTATTAATTGAATGTGTGTGCTAAAACGTATCTAACTTTCAAAGGGCAGTTCTTTAATACCGTATAAGTACTTTGCATATTTTAGTATCAGATAGTTATTGAGCAAAATTTAGTAGAAGTGTCAAAACTGATGCAGTGCAGCAGAAAACTTGTTTTCTTCTTACCTTAATAGCAATAGCATACAACAGACAAGTGCAAGGAGAAGAAAAATAAAAATCAGAAAGAGATTTAAGAATAAAGTATTTAAAGTAATAAACATAGAAAGAAAAATCATGAAAAACAGTAAAAGAAAGGGAATCAGCAGAGAGCAGTAGCCTGAGAGATGTTAACTTGCAATAAATGTAATTTTATGGTGCTAATATCTTGGGTATCTGCTAGAATTTAGGGCAGTTAAAAATAAAATCTTTAGACACTTGATATTACAATGAAAACCTTCCATTTTCTCCTCTACCCGAGTGAAGATTTCTCTTCTTAAACAAACTGAGCCCTAACTCTGTTAGATGAAAGCCCCTTTGATCTTCCATTAAAGGAAACCTTCACAATATCATTATGAAAATGCATTATGAAAAATTCACACATACATCCCTTCCTGACCCACAAATCTTCCTGACTTGTGGTTACATTAGACAGCAAGCTGCTGAGCGTCAGAAGACAATGAAGCAGTGGCAAAACATGAGGCAGATATTTGCCCTGGTTGTAAGGCTGCATAACCATTTGTGACCTGTGTATTGGTAGAGCTAAATTGCATCAGTCTAAGTCTTATAGATAAATTTTTCTCTGATATGACATTGAGAAAATACAAAAATATGCCAATACATGTTTGGCTATATTTGAATATGTGTCCAAGTGAAGTAACATTAAGATGCTCCCGAATAGCACTCTACAGTCCAGAGGTATTATAAAAAAAAGTTTTGCATTCTACTTGTGTTTGATCTACACAGAAATAATATGAACCTCTGCATACTGATAAAAAAAAACAATGCTGAAACTGGCACTGCTGTATTGTACATCAGATCTTTTTAAATTGCTAGCTGAGTTTTTTTGCTATAGTAACTCCTCAGAGGCATAATGAAGTTCATCAGTCACTGGAACTGTCTTCATGCTGTGATTTGATTTACAAAAGTACCCCAGATGAAAATGATCTGCAAACAAATGTAAGGCTAAATTTTGTTTGTGTATTTTACTGACAACATATTTGCATGTGTTAGATTCTCTTTTTTACCCTTCCCTTCTTCCTGCTATGTACAAGGAGTGACTGGGATTTACATTGATACTTTTTGAATTCCTAGCTTGTCAATTTCCTCAAAGCTTAAAAGAGATGAAGTCCTGAAGTCTGACAAATACACACCCGTAATTTCATTAAATAAATGTTAAAATTAGTTTGATGTTGTCGACTTAATTCTTACTAGGTTGCGATCCAGAAGTCAGAATCAGCACCAATTCAACATAATTAAAAATCCTTGATCAAAAGAGACTGGATTATGCAAACTGAGAAACAGAAGTGACAGTCTAGCTTATTAAAATCATCCTTCTAGACCAGATTTAATGGTATAATTGGAATATACTTTAAATGCACTGACCTTGTATGTATTTTCTTTGGGATATGAAGAAATAAAATTAACATTCCATTAAGAAACTGTCTCTGCTGGTTTTATTTTTATGAGTTTGAATTTCCACTTTACAAATGACCGAATATACATATAGCTTTACAAATACTTGTACTTTAAAGTCTTTAATATCTTGAAGAAGAAGCTGTCAATGTTACAGCCCTGGAAATCTTAGAAAAAGTCCAGCAGAACCCTTTTTTTTTTTTTTTTTTTTTTTTTTTTTCTTCCAGATACTGTACAACAGATTGAATTTGAGAAATCTTACAAAGATAGTGATTGCAATACACCAAGACATTAAAATGTGCTAAGACAGTAAGATATTTTAAGTCCATTCAAAATATGAAGCTGGAGTGGAAGTAAAATTGGAGAAAAAGCCCTCGATGAACAGACAGCTCTTGCCTAAAGCTAGTTGCTTATTTAAACGTCTTGCTGAATAAGACTCTGAAACCTAGTATTACATTTAGCTGGAATAGCTAATCTATGGAAAATCCTGATATTTCATTTCAAAGAATAATTCAGAATCTAGATTTAACTGCAGAATGGAAATACCAAAGTCTTTCAGCTGAAAGGTGTGGAAATGAGCTACAGAATATCAGAAAATAATTGAATTCACAACATATCAACATAGTATCATATAAAAGCATGATGAATGAAAGTTAAAATGAAATGTTTACCATATCAAATACTTACTTTGTCAAAACATAAGCATCAGACCAGTTTGTATAAACTAATTCCCACTAAGCATTTCAGCCAAGTCAACAATTTCACACGTGCTCTTTAGATTTGGACAAAAGCAGCACTTTTCAAGCCGATGTTAACGTCACAGTGCTGAATAAAGGAACTAAGTTAGTGACACCACAGCTGACTTCCTGCAACCAAAATTGCAGTATTGTCAGTGAAGTGACAGCAGTGAATGAAAAACAATTCTGAACTTCTGAAGAATTAGCAAAGTGTGCCCCATGTGCAAAGAGTGCATGTCCTACTAAAATGTGTCAGCTTTTTGTGCTAGTACCTTTGAATGTCATTTGGGTGCTTCCCTAGGAATTTACCATGGAAAAAGAAAAACAATTTAGTACAAATAATTAATACTTGACATTGTTTTGTTTAGAAAGGTAAGCTAAACTTAAATTCTTATTTTAGAAGTCTAATTTGCAGTAGGCATTATATTCCACTTTTGTTTTTTTGGGTTTTTTTTTTGTTTGTTTTTTTTATTTTCAAAGAAGGAAAAGAAATCCAGTTACGAGAAAATTAGTTCATTTTAAAATTTTGGCAGAACCACATTTCAGCTAGTTTCTTCTATTCCTTCTTTCATGCAAGGTCTTTCTCAGAATTTAGGAGACACTGTACAGGCACTAGGAAATCTGTGCAGAATAGAGGACGTGTCTTGCAGCTGCTTCTAGGACAGAGCAGGGGAGAGAAATTTTTCTTCAGCCTCTGCATTCCCCTGAATTCTGTGGTGGCAGTAAACTCTGCCAGTCATTCCCCCAGCCCAGTTTTCATCTGACTGCTCACCAGTTCAGCTGTTACCTCTACCCTTGTCTGGACACAAGGGACAGCAGCAGCTGCCTTGTCTCCATCGACGTGGCCTGCAAGGAGGCCAAGGGAGCACGCCTGGCTTCCTAAGGATCTGTCCTGCATTGTACATGAGCGCACAGTTGGGCTTGAAACAAGAGCAGAATAATGCAATTGCATTCTTGCTTTGGCAACATCAGAGACATACTTCTGTCAAAAACCTCCATAATTTATGCAAGATTTTTCCCTTCAGGAGAGATGAAACCAAGTCACAGCATTTGGATCAAGGTGGTAGCACTCTCTCCCGGGAACTGGAGAGTTCTACTTTTAAACTTGGATTTAGTTCAGCTGAAAAAGCAAAAGATCAAATTTAAAATTTGAATCTGTATTTAGACTCTGAGCTCATCCAGAGCTCGTTAGCATGCATTTTCACATATAGATGCCATCAAGCAGGGCTGAGAATGTTAGTCTTAATGAGTTACAACAAACCTTTGTGTGGTATGTGGAATAATGAATCACTGTTCCGTGCTGACTTGGTTTGGGCGGGCAACCTTTTTAAGTGCTGGGAAGTGAAAGGTACAAATGCACCCCAGCTGTTAAATTTTGTATCAGAAATTATTTGGAACAGTTGAGATATCAAACCACAGAAAGAGGGTTTTATAAAGGAATAGCCAACTCAGCCTTAAAATAAACTTCATATCTTTCAGGATACAGACTTCATATTTTTCACTAAAAACAAAGCTTTGATGATTCTCAGAGGTATGTAAATTCCGCAGCAATTCATTTATTCAGTGACAATACTCCACCTTCTAAATCAAACCTCCAATGTGTCATTATCCAGTAGCTCAGAACTAGCTCTTTGTGTGAATACATAAAGACTCTGAAGCCTGTGCTGAAAACAAAAGGAAACCCCATTTACTAGCTGTTTGATGTCTAGTCTTAGAAAATGGTTTTAGAACATAGAAATTAAAAGGAAAGCATTCCTCTAACTCCTTCCTCTGTATTTGCAGGTACTCTGTAGATCGCCACACCGATATGGACAGAGTATTCAACATCAATTCAGGAAATGGTTCGATATTCACTTCAAAACCCCTTGACCGGGAAACACTGCTGTGGCACAACATTACAGTAATAGCAGCAGAGATCAGTAAGTTAAACCTAAATACAACTCCTGTCCCTGATGTAATGAATTTAGCCTTCTAGCTGAGTGTGTGGAAAGCACAGCTGGGCACATGTCAGGTTTATGGATAGCCCACTCAATACTAATGAAGAAGCAGTAACTCTGCAAGAGGTCATCTGCAGTTTTGTGTTTATTAGGGACACAGTTCATGAAGAGGTAACTTAGCAGGGAGAAAAGGTGACAGTTCTGTGTTCTCTGATCAGTTATAGCCACTTTAAATTTTGAACATGGTTGTTGAATTCTGAAACTGGCATGTAGCAAAAGAGATGGTTTAAAGCCAAACTGCATTCCTTGGCTGAATTCAGTCTCATTCAGACTGGGTGTTTTCAAATAAGGCTAAAGTGGCTGGGCTGAGCTGGGTGCCCAGATATTAGTCAGTTTTATGCATCTCCATTTTTCACTTTGTGTGCATCCTTTGAAATTACAAGCTGCAGCTACAAATCAGTCTGTCGCGTAATTTAGGATTGTTCCGAAGTAGTAATCTTGTGATAATACTAAACATGCTGATTTTAGAAGTCTAAATGCCAGGGGTCTAAGATAAGAATGTGTTCGAGATGGCATTAATAAACAATTTGCTTTGTTTTAATGCATTATCTCTAAGTACATCACATGCTGGAATATCAGAGAATGCAATTCTATTTGCAGAGTCACAGTGCCTATGTTTATGGTGGAATGGTAGATAAGTTTAATATAAACACCAGTTCTGTGACTGTCACAATTTCTCTCTGCAACTCAGAGGTTAAAAAGCTTTTGATTTTTCTGAGATAATGTAAGCTCTACTTTCTTTTTTTTGTATGTGTATATGGCTCGATTACCTTTCCTAACAGTGAGAAGAGTGTTAAAATCTCAGGATTACTTGACTCAACTTTCTTTATTGTGTAAGTCTTCTTTAAAACTGAAAACCTGAAAAAATGTAAAACAACGCTACTGAGGCAATCAAATGGGATTGTATGAAGGAGTAGTGGGTATGAGCCCATAGGAATGACAAGATATTAATAGTTTTCTCCCTCTCATGAAAGTTTGCACCTTTTAATGCTAGGTATTTGATTTCAGCACACCAAACACTGAACGTTAGTCACGTGGCTGTGTTTCTATTAAGTTCTTGGAGGCGGGTTTTAGGGTCAAAAGTTGTACACTATAGGCAGCTCCTGGGTAGAGCAGAAGGGAAAAATAAAAGCCTAAAAAGGAAAGAATAGCAAGAACATTTAGCACAGACAATAGCAAGAACACTTGCATTGACCCCAGCTGGGCTGAAATAACATGCAGTGTATATTAAACTATTTGAAAAACAGCTTAGCATCTATAGGAAGTATTCATTTGGTTCCTTGCTTCCTCCCTTAAGCACAGACCTTCTACTGCACCAAACCCTCTCAACTTAACCTTTGTGTCTGACGCAGGCTTCCAGATTAATTACCATTCCTCTTAAGTCTGAATCCTTTCAAGGTGCAACAAACTGCTTCCCAGGGTGTGCTTTACTAAGCCTAGACCAAATTTGGAATAACAAAGGCAGATGTCTTCCAAAGGCAGGTTTTTTTTGGTTGAAATGTACTTTTCTGATCCAGGACACTTCACTAATTTTAGGCTCAAGAGACTAGGCTGGAAAGTACCACTACTTATTGTTCCTGGCAATCCCAGAAATTTCTAGCAAGGCTACTTATAGTCCCATTCCACTAAATTCCTTAGAATCACTTATTATTCTCAGTAACATTATCTCATCAAGCTCCAAGTATATTTAATTGAAGTGATCTAAAAAAAATATCCAATCAGTTTACAGGCAGGATGCACCTTCAAATGGGTGTGCGCTCTCTTTGATATAGGAAAAAATTAATTATAAAGTCATGAAGAGAAACACCTTTCAGTAATGACTGCTTTTGATTTTGTTTTACAGTTAAAAAAAAAAATAAATACTCAAGTTGTTTTGCCTTTGTCTAGAATTGTCAGTAAGTGTAGATTGCTCCAGTTCTAAATGTTCTCCTTTTACACCAGTATGAGCTGCAATTGCTCAGCAGCCCAGAGAATCAATCATGCTGTGACTGCTGCACATAAATAGTTGGTGAAACACCGGGTCAGTACATCTGCCACAGTCAGACAGCAAACTGGCATTAAAACGTAGGACACAGGTCTAGTGAGTCACAGCTGCAGAATTACAGCTGATTTACCAAAGACAATGCCCAGAGTGTTTTTAAATATTTGTTACTTAACACTTATGGGTAAGTCAAACACTGGCAGGACCTTGAGGCTGTATTCCGAAAAAAGCCACCACTTTAACAGTTTTGTTGCTGGCACAGCAGAAAACATATCCCTACACAGAGAAATAGATTTAAGCGGTTTGTTGAGTCTATAGAGATGGAGCCCAGCAGTAATTAAAGGATAACACAGACAAATGAAACTACATGAAATAATTTGCACAAATAATTTGAAAGATGATGACACAAAATATAAAAAAAAAAAAGATATTAATTTCCATTAAATCAGAAAAGAGGCATATGTTCATAGAGCTGAGAGTTTATATGAAGCTTCTCTTTATTACAGTATGATTTTAAATTGTGAGAACCTTAAGCACCTAGAAGTAAAATGAAAATATGTAGGTTTAGGTTGAAAAAGCAGGAAAGAAAGCAATTCTCCTTCTTCAGAGGAGAAGAAACATGTTTGCCAATATATTTGAATGTATTTGTTAGAAAAGTATGCCCTACAAAATAGTCTTGCCAATAGTTCTGTGACTTCAAATGAATGCCTTTGATTTCTGCCTGTTATAAAAATTCAACTCTTTTATTGATGTATTTTAGCAAAGAATTCAGCCTAGTCCATATTATACATAAACTGTTATTTTATATATCGAATGAATTTAGCCCAATGGCTGATATTAGAAAGAGGTTTATGCTTAATGGAATCATATTAACTTCAGTGGGACTGTGGAGCCTTAAAGCACAATATTTTGTCCAAATGACTGAGCTCTGTAATACAAATAAGCAGTGCCAATTTTGGAGAAGGCATTTTCACATTTATAAAAGGATGATAAACACATTAATAGGACTTTTATTAAAGTCAACAAGCTACTATAATGAATGCTTGTAGAAGAAAATAGAGTCTTAGATCTGCTATATTTTATTGCACTATTTTTTCACTTTAATGATAGGTTAAAATGCATTGATAAAATGTATTAACATGGGTAGGAAATCAACATGGGAAAATTCAGTTTGAGCCCTCATGTAGGAGAGTGTAAGGTATTTGTTTTAAATGAAACTTCTCTAAATCACACTCTCCCTCAGATTTCTCTCTCTCACATTCCCATACCCACATACTACAAGGTGGATATTGTGTGATATGGAGCACAAAGAGACAGATCAATGGCAGAGTCTCTAGGGTTTCTTTCAATTAGTGACAACAAATTCCTTTGGGACCAGTTCTTGTACATTTTAGGAGTCAGTGGTTGTTATCTTGTGACCTTTTGCCTCAGAATCTTGCCTATTTCACCACACATGGTTCTAGGTAAGGTTACTACCACTGCTTTTCTTCCTTATTCTGTATATTGTTTTGACTATAGTCTGCCCCCTCCCATCAGGAAAAGGAATGGTCTATATGGTATGATGCACTTCCAGATGTTTTTATTTTTATCAAGAAAGATGACAGTATTTTCATTAATATTCTATGTTCAGGAATATCTTTGTCCATTTCAATCTCTTGGCACTATGTGGTCCTTATAGGGGAAAAAAAAAGATTGTTTACTTAGAAGCATCCACAGGTGCTTATGTTTTTCAGCTGGTATTCAGTATACACTTCAGTATTTACTCTAGAACATCAGACAAAACAATTCACAACAGGATGTTATCAAGCATCTGTGATCACAGCTGCAGTTACTATTTCTATAAAACAATGATTATTATGGTTGCTTAAGGAACTATGCCACAAGATTTGTAGGGCACAGAGTATTATATTTAACAAGTGGAGAAGAAAAAACCCACTCAATCTCATCCTCATGACTCTTAGAGCTGTTAGAGAGCTAAGGAAGAGAATATGTTCTAGATACTTCACTGCCACCAAACAGTATCAGTCAGGCTAATAAATAGATTTAATTTAGTTCCAGTATTATATTTACATATATCACACATACATTCATAATCACACTTGGAATGATCAAAGGAATTTGTAAATCCTGGACTCCCACTCCATCTTAACTCTGTAGTTTACACAGAATTAGAGTAATGAAACTATGTTCATCCCATAATACACTCACCAGAAAGCAATAGAAAGTAAGTGAAGTGCTCTGAGTGAGAAAAATTAAGACAATGAGCCTCCAAGTCTGTTCTTTTCTTCCACTGCACTGAGTCAGTAACTGGGTTAAATAAAATCTCCATTCTGGTTTTGTCATTTCAGACAACCCAAAACAAAGCAGCCGTGTCCCGGTGTTCATTAAGGTTTTGGATGTAAATGACAATGCTCCGGAGTTTGCCATGCTTTACGAGACCTTCGTCTGCGAAAACGCAAAGGCAGAACAGGTGTGTTGTCTGCTCGTACTAAGGAAATATTCCACATTAAATGAGTTTTGCTGCTACTCTTGCATTACCTCATCAAGTGGTGTACTTTGCACTGCATCAAATTTAATTGCAAAATTAAACAGTGGCTGCACAGTATCTGATTTCACTCAGTATTCTTCCAGCTGACATGATGATATGTTTTTGAATGTTATTTTCTGTACTGCACCTTGTTACCCCTGATTCATTTTCATTCTTTCATCCTTTGCTTTATTCAGGCACCTCCACTGTCTCCTTCAAAAACAATTTCACATCTGTAAAAGTTACAAGTCCTATCTGTGATACAGCTACATCCTGCTAGAGACCACTCCTATTGTAAAGTAGCTCAAAGTTGCAGATTATTTGGAAGATTCAGCCAAACAATTTCTGTGACATGAGATTTGGATAGACAAATATAAATTCAGCTTGGACTTTCATCTTTCACCTTTCATCTCTATTCCTTGTCACATGCAAAGGTTTCCTAGCCATCTGCAGTGGCACTAACCCAAGCCTTCTGGTGAAATCAACATGATTTTCCAGCCAACTTTCAAATTCATTATGTCACTCACTGATGGTATAGGATATAATAGTACGGAGACCCTAAACATATATATATAAGCAGCATGCAGATGACTTCTCTTAAGCTCACCATAGCAAGATCATCTGCCTTGAAGCAGAAGAAAAAAATTAACACAAGAGATTGCTTTTACAGATTTTTTTAGAGTACATAAATAAACATAAAGTTCACTGACTTAGGAGATAATTTTGTTCTTATTGTTTCAGCTGATACAAACATTAAGTGCTGTTGATAAAGATGACCCTTACAATGGACATCAGTTTTCATTCTCCTTAGCTCCCGAGGCAGCCAGCAGCTCAAACTTTACACTACAGGACAACAGAGGTGAATTTCTAGGAAGACTTTTCTTTATTATCTTATACTTGCTTTCAGTCTTCAGATGAAGATTTAATGCATGCTTTGTGTTTCCAGACAACACAGCAGGGATTTTCACTCGAAAAACCAGATATAACCGGCATGAAACAAGTACCTACTTCTTGCCAGTGGTGATATCAGATAATGATTACCCCATCCAGAGCAGCACTGAAACAGTGACTATTCGGGTGTGTGCTTGTGACCATCGGGGAAAGATGTTGTCCTGTAATGCAGAAGCCTTGATTCATCCTACTGGTCTTAGCACTGGGGCTCTTATTGCCATTCTTCTCTGCATCATTATATTACTTGGTAAGTAGCTGAGGGACATTTTGTTCCTTTCATGGTTATTTTGCATTGCTATAATTATTATTCCAAGACTAGAACATCATTGTCTCATCCTGTACATGTATTATTGTATTTCCTCCTCTGAGGGCTGCTACAGATGGGGTCTATAGGGCACAACCAATCTAACCTTTGTTATCTGAAAGTTAGTGATGTATGAGGAAGAGGAGACAGCTGGGTTCCACACTCTGGTCAATGGAAAGAGACACCAGTAGAGAGACATGCATACCATGCCATGCCATGCCATACCATACCATACCGTGCCATACCGTGCCGTGCCGTGCCGTGCCGTGCCGTGCCGTGCCGTGCCGTGCCGTGCCATCCCATGCCATGCCATGCCATGCCATGCCATCCCATCCCATCCCATCCCATCCCATTCTATCCCATCCCATCCCATCCTTTATTGGTATCTGAGGAGGACCAGACACATTATTCATAACCCTCTGCAGGTGCCCATCCCTTTTTGTGGACCATAGAAAGAGGGCAGATAACTTAGTTTTGAAGAATTAACTTCCTATTTCTTAGCTGAGGAGAAACAAGTCTCAGTGCTTTTTTGTCTGTTGGAAAAGGATGCTGATTGATACTGAGGGACCCTCTAAAAGCCTTCAGGTCCTCCATTTCAGCCACCTGTGATTAGGAGGAGGTTGGATCCTGAGTGTGGAGGATGTGCAGAGCTCTGGCTAAGGCACTTACAGATGGTCAACCTTTCTTCTAGATATATAAAAATGAGGACAGTTTGCAACATCTCTCACATACCTGTCAGGTTCCACACCCCTCCTGTACTGCAAACAGATATTTGGTCACTTGACTATTATCTGTATCTGTTCATCTGGGGATAACTGCAATGCAACACAGGCTGTTCTCTGGGAGATGTTATTAGGATGTTAGGAGGAAAGAAGGGAGTCAGACCAATTTTACAGCAGTAGGGTCAGGCAGGAGAGAAAATTCTTCCTTCATGATTCTACTTCTTTTTACCATACTCCTATATTCCTTGGACATGCTTATCACCACTGCAGAGTCATCCTGATCTTTACTTTTAACAAAATTTCCCTCTCCCGGTAATGAGTCGAATATGAGGTTGTGGTTCTCAGACTCTAACAATATTGGCTTGCTCAAATAAGCTCTATCCCATTTTCCGAAAAGATTCCCACAATAACAATCTGATCTTTAATTCACCATTAAATTCATTTTTCAAAACATGGTATCATTGCCCCTAAGGGCTGAGCTCACTTTGTATTAAGTTCCTTACCAGAAAAAGTAATGTAATGCTGCAGGTAGTCTTGCACTCGTTAGTACAACTGTGCTCATTAATATCAATCTGACATTAAACGATTTCCTGTTTTATGTCAATCGAAAATAATTGATTCTGTGTGCTAAGCAGCACTTTATGTCAATTACTGCTCATGCCACCATGCACCATAAGCAGATTTTCAATTAACTCAGCTATATAATTTTCTATTTTCAGGTTGGTTGCAGGGTTTGAATGTGCAGCCACTACTGAGTGAAAAACAATACTCTGGGCAGACCTGAACCACAGCTCAAAGTTTAGCAGCAACAAAGAGTGCCTGTAAATTGCTAGGTTTATATGCAGTTTGAGTAAGTTTAGCATCTTCTCAGGAGGTTTCAGATACTGCTGAACACAGACATGCAAATAAAAGTGATGTACTTCAACATGTAGCTTGTGATGGGGTCTTTTCCCTGCAAGTTCAGCACAAAGCAGTAAAATCCATGTATCAGATGTGTGATGTATTTATCATAGTCTCATCCTTGCATGTTCTGTGTAACACTACTTTTGTAATGAGATACTTGAGCAACTCTGATGTAAAATCTAACATTTATGCTTTCATCAACATCTATGCTTTCTCAGACCATTCTACCAGTCACTGTTCCAGAAGCCCATTCCAAACTGACATTGTTTTTCGAGTTCTCCAAAATGTTCTCCAGCTATCTCTCTTCTTTCATACACGCCTTTCACCAGTCGTCCCACACACAGTGCCACAGCTTTTTGCTGTTGAGGAAGAAAATAGTGTCTGTCTAATTTTTGCACAGCAGCACAAAGACACATCACTCAAACTAGGACCCTTCTGTGACACCATAAGTAAATCCTCATCATTAGGCTGAGATCCCAATGCAGTCTGAACCATCCCTCCTAATCCTTCAACTTCACCATCCATTTCCTTTCAGCTCATATTGATAGTCAATCTACAAGATGCTCAGGCATACATACAGACAGTCTTTTGCTGTAAGCAATCCTGCAGGGGAACTCATTATTAAAAAAAACCCAACCAACAAAAACAAACAAACAAAAAAAAACAAAACCCCAACCAAAACAAACAATCAAAAACAACCAAAAAACAACCACACCACACCATGCCACACCACACCCCCCCACCAAATCAAAAATACCCACCAGAATTTGTCTGTCAGAGGAAACTAAGAATGAGAAGGTTCAGTGGAGTAAAGTTTTGGGTTGGGGATGCCCTTAGTCCTTGATGTTGACCTTAAAAGATTACAACTGAGGAAAGGACTGAAAAAAAATTCTTTGTTACTGTGTTTGACTCACATGCCATTTTAGAAGCAAAGCTGACATGAAGCATCATTGTGATCCACCTTATCATCTCACATCAATGAGTTTCGGCATTTCTGCTTTGCTTTGCTATGAAAAAACTGTAAAGACAGCACGATGTGTCCTTCCTTGGAGTTTGCACAGCAGAGCTGAAATGCTGGGCATTGCAGACCTCAGACTACCAAAACAACACTGACAGCAGAAATACATCCCTGCTCCTTGCTGCTGTTCATTTGTCAATATTCAGCCATTTACATCTTAAAGTAGAATCCAGCTAAGAAATATGAAACTAGCTTCTATAGAAAAGTGTTGACCATATCCCTTTCCACGTTCTGTGTCCACTTCTCCATCGCTACTGAAAATCAGTATTGAGTAAAAATACTAAAATTTGCATCAGGGTCATGGAAGGAGTTCCTTCCCTCCAAATAAATGAAAAGTATGTGTATGTGAAAAATATGTGAGTATGTATCCTTTAAAATTAAGGACATAAAAGATTCTCTAGAAATCTGCTTTTGTCAGATTAAAAAATACCTTTATCATATCTCATCAGTCCATTATTTGATTTGTGTACTTTTCAAGGTGATGTACATTGTAAAAACATTCCAGGGACATTAACAAAACTCAGACTTTGTGCTGGCTGAAAATCCACTCCACATTCCAAGCTTTTTTCCCAATGGAGGATAGATTTACTTATCTTGAAATTTGGTTTTGCTAAGCTCAGTAGATAGCATCCTTGTCCATAGCAGAAGTTGCATAATGTCCAAGGGGTTCAACATAAATAACATCTAATGTTACTTATTCTGGAGAAAGTGTTTCTTCCTTCCTAGCTCTCATGAAACTAGTTCTGTTCTCAAGGTGACAAAATTAGTATATGGCTCTGGGTAACAAAGATCCTACTGGCAAAAAGACACTCTGCTTGGCTTCCTGCAAGCTTGCCATCTCCTTTCTTCTGTGCATGCATGCCATTTCATTTCCCAAGAAGCTCACAGGCAGAGCAAGCGCAGCCTGAAAATCTGATGTGCACATTTTCAGTTTTTCAAAACACCCTCTCAAACTTCAAACTCAAGCAGAGGTGCAGCATTTCTTTTGGGCTTTAATGGAGCTGGGGATTAACCTTCTTTCCCTTTCGCTGTTGTTTTTGTTTGCAGTTACCGTGGTGCTGTTTGCAGCGCTGAGACGGCAGCGGAAAAAAGAGCCTTTGATAATTTCCAAAGAAGACATCAGAGACAACATTGTCAGTTATAACGATGAAGGTGGTGGAGAGGAAGACACCCAGGCGTTTGATATTGGCACGCTGAGGAATCCCGAAGCCATAGATGATAATAAATTACGCAGAGACATTGTGCCGGAAACACTTTTCATGCCGCGGCGGACTGCAACAGCACGAGATAACACGGATGTCAGAGATTTTATTAACCAAAGGTTAAAGGAAAATGATACAGATCCAACAGCACCCCCGTATGACTCATTAGCAACCTACGCGTACGAAGGTAATGGTTCTGTGGCCGAGTCCCTCAGCTCCTTGGAGTCGGTGACTACAGACGGAGATCAGGACTACGATTACCTCAGTGACTGGGGACCTCGGTTTAAAAAGCTGGCAGATATGTATGGCTCAATGGACAGTGACAAAGACTCTTAATATGTTGTCTTTTTTTTTTTTTCCCTCTCTTTTTTTTCTCTTCCTCATTCCCAGAAACAGCATCGGGATATGTGAAGTGGCTATTTCTTTCTGTTTCTCCACAGCTGTTTGAAAGGGTTCTCTGTTCTACGCATTTGAATTGTCTAATGACTGCAGTCTGTGTGGGTTAGCCATCAGAAAACTTTCTCTAGTATCATTTTATGAGCTTCCAAGAGGCAAAATCCTTATTTTTTGAGTGCATCCAGTTTACCAAGCCAATCTTACAGGCACAGCAGTAGTGGAGGAAAAAAAATGGATCAGATGGGGAGCAATATTTTTACTTGTTCTGCTTATATTGTAAATTGGAGTATATTACTGTTTAAGCTCACTTGCTTTTTACTTGTATTCGGACTATTCAGCTCAGACGACTGCTCTGTCGATTGTGTATTGCACATCCCAATGTAATGAGGTACCCTAGTTTACCCTATGTATTATAGTCAAAAGTAGTGGTGATGGAATGAAGGTTTATTATACAAGTAGAGTAAGCTGAGAAAAGAACATCAAACACACATTTTACTCATGAGGAGGGTAGAGAGGCTTAATGGTCATTTAAACCTGAGTGTTTCTCTAGAACTCACCATTGCCCCATTGCACTGAATCATACTAACACACACATATATATAGCTCATTGACTGCTCTGTATATATTCTTTGGACCTAGCATTGCTGGAGAGATGTGTGTGTGTGCACGTGTGTGTGGTCAGTAGTCCCAACATATAATTCTGAGATGGTTTCCCCGTTCTAACCCAGGCTTGCTTTGCGATACAGGGAAAGTCATCAAATCCAGCTCCAGATTAGGTCACGACTCAGTGGAAGGAACAGATCAGAACTGTGCTTTTGTTTGCACTTTCTCAGTCAGCCTCCACCTGCACATCAGTTCAGTGATGGCCACTGTCCTGGGGACATTGTAGTCAGGATGTTCATATCCAGCTACTCCTGCCTGTTCTCATGTGCAGGTGGGGAGGAGTGACCTCAAGGTGACTACAGCCCTCTGGGGCAAAAGGAGCAACTGCAGAGGAGGAAAGTTCTTTTTTTTGTCCTGACCTCTGGATGTCCAGGGTTGATTCCTGACTGACCCTCTGCCCAGTTCTGCTATCTGTAAAATGGGGAAATAATGCCTACCTCATCAGGATGTTGCAAGAACTATATAAGACATTTGGAAAATGCTTTAGAAATGGAAAACACTGGCATTCTGCCAGAGGAAATAACTTTTCATGCTTTTGGGTAGTTGTTTCCCTTTATTTTCTTCCAGACTCAAGCCCTGAATGAACAAATAAGTGACAATTAATGGTCATTCCAGTGGCCTGAAGAGGGGGTTTATAATTATAAGTCATTTTTTTAAAATAAACCACTCAGCAAGGGTTGTTAGAGACATCACCAAAAGGTAGCATTTTAACCACAAGTTTCTCTGTGTGTGTTTATCTGCTTTGCCAAGCTAAGTAATTTTTGTCCAGGTGTGGGGTGGGGGAAGTTGCCATAATCTTGGGCCAAAACAGTTTTCTTTATAGCTTGCACACCACTCAGTATTTCAGTTGGTTTTTCAAACATGTAGCGGCTGCCCTTCAAATCCAGCCATCTAGGAGAGGCTCTCCGGAGAAAACCCTAAGGGGCTGCCATGGGGCATATCCAATTCCAGGAGTTAAACACCACCATGTGTTCCAAAGTAGGGAACCAGCCCATGGCACTGTGCCAAGGAAAGAAGGAATTACTATTTTTAAATACCTCATGTGTAACTATTCTCATTTATTTCATGAAACAGTGTTTAATACCAGAATTACAGGAATGATTCTATTTTCCTCCTCCCCCAAATTTTAAGTGAACCATTTTGAAAATTAAACAGCTCCAATTTACTTCAAAAATAAAAAGAGATGAGGAAATAAGTTAATAAACAGAAAACTAAAAGCAATTAAAAATTAATCCCTGGAATTCATTACTCCTTGTGAGTTAAAGAGAGCAGTAAGGGTCCCAAGTATTAGACTTCGACAACCACAATGACAGAATTTTAGGTTTTGTGGACCAGCTCAAAGGGAAGAGGATGAACCAGCCATGCTGTGGCCCCAGCTGTGCAGGAGAAGACTCACTCACAGTGAGGAGCACTGTGCTCCTGTAGGTGTAGAGCACAGCATCTAATGGCTTGCAGATTGGATACTTTCAGAGCAGAGAAGCTCAGAGTTTCCTCAGCCTCCCTGGTGGAGGCCTCTCAGAGTGTTTAAGTCCAACAGAGTGTGGTTCCCAACTCCATCACTTAGTGGAGGGCTGAGCTGTTGCACCTATCACAATGGCAATGGCATGGCTAGAGCCTTGCTATGTCCTCTTCAGAGCCCTCAAGTAATTTAAGAAGCTAAATGCCTAGCTCTTCATGGCTGCCTTGAAATTGGAACTTCTAGGAAGCAATCTGTCCAAAAGCTGGCTCTGGCAGACGGGAGAGACCATCTGGATTTCAGATATGCTGAGGAGCAGCAGATGCTCAGCACCAGCTGCCACAGGTCCCGCACTTTGGGCTGCTCCCCTCACACAGTCAATGGGGCCAGCACATCCCTCCAGGGGCTCTCCCCAGTGGCTTCCTAACACATCCCTCTCACTCTTCACTCTGTGGCTGCCTCCAGCAAATAGTCCCAAGCTCAGAATCCAGCTGGATGCCCAAAGTGAGCCAGTGAACTGTCCATTCCCTTCCTTAGGCCTCAAGGCCTCTTAGGCCTGAGTCTGTTGGCTGGTGTGCAGAGGGGAGGGCAGGGGTGGCTGTGAAGCCACACACCTGCTCAGCCCTGCAAGCCACCTCCAGCTCACTGGGAAGAAGGAGTTGGTGGCATCTGGCTGGCAGAGAGCGCTGGTGGCCTGAAGGGGCTGGGCCGCCCTGCATTAGTCACTTCTTGGGTGGGATAATGAAACAGGAGGATCAGTGAACTCCTTGTAACTATTTTCCTATGTTTGTACAGTGATTTTGTCTGATTTAGTGATTGTTAGTAGCAGTCCAAGCGCAAGTTTTGAGTCAGCTTGGGGTTTTATTCCTTTTAATTCAAAGCTGGTTTTATCTTGTCCATTGAGTGACACAGTAAATAATAGAGAGTGGCTACTCGTGCCTGCTATGTAAATATATTATATATATAAAATTATGTTATGTCACCACAAATATGGTGCCTGAATAGCAAATGCATTCTTCTAAGAAAATTTGAGGGAAACTTGCATCCAAATTATTATTTATGCATCTAGGTTTTAAGGTATATTTTTTTTTTATCCTGCAAATTGAACAGATTTAGCATCTCACATACAGCCAAGGAGAGTTCAATTCTTTCTTTTCTTCTTGCTTGGCAGTACCACAAAGTGCAATTTATAAAATTAGTACTGCATTTTAAATATTGAAAGTGCCATATTGCAGTGAATACAAACCTTTGCAGTAGTATTTCTTTGCACTTTGTTGCATGGTGGTGTGCTACATGATAGAAATGAGTATTTAACAATGCTTTCACACAGCGCTGCAATTGTCATTTGTAGATAACCAGTTGTTGGACTATGGGCTCTGAAGTGGCTTTCAAGGCTGTTTTAAGCCTCTTCTTACAACCACACCTGTTTCAGAAGAAAACTATTATTAGGCAGTTCAGCTAAGCTAGGTAGAGAGATAAAAATGCAGTTGGCTTTTAATTTGGGAAAGCATCTGACCTAACAACAGGAAACATATTAAAAGATGTCAAGGAATTCAGTGGAGTCAACATGAAACAGGGATCTGGGAGTCTATGCCAACCATGCTACTGCAGAAAAATACCATCTCTACACTTGAAATGGGATACAGAAACTATTTCACCTCAACCCCCAAGAGAGTCACTTTACCCCAGAAAACTGGCGGAGAGTTGTTTTTGTTTTGTGTTTGCTGGGGTGTTTCGGTTTGCAGGAGAACTACTTCAGGTTAAACCCAATTCTATTCCACAGCAGCACCAGTGTGGGGAGACACAGCAGCCCATGCCTCCAGTGCAGCTGTGCCAGGACATCTCGGGACATCTCTCTGTGTAGGCAAGCGCTTGGAAGAGCTGAGGCAGAGACTTGCAGAGAGCTCTGCACAAGGCTCTACCAGCAGTATCACAGGACTGAGATATGTTCCCAAACCTGACATAGATGGAGTTGTGTCTAACCATGAGAAAACCAAATTGTCTGTATTTTTCAGTTGTTTCCGTTAAAAATGTCCTGGAAAAGACACACAGTAGAAAAAAATGTCACCCATACCAACAGAAATATTTTCTAAATTTTTCCTAAGAAACAAATATATTTTTCTGGTCTTACTTCATTCTATGGACAGGTGTTTCTTCACTGTTAAATGTGAATGGAAGAGGCAATCTTCAAATAATCCAGTTTAGGAAGTTGCAGTCATTGTAATGTAAATTACAAGTTACAGTTTTCCATTTCTCTATTACAAAAACAAAATAAAAAAAATCCCACAAAACCAAGAAAATTAACATCTGCAGTACCACAAAAAACCAGAACAGTCATAGAGAAGTATAGCAGAGAGAAATAGCTTTCAAAGTGTGTATCTACCAATGTACACTTTCAAAACCAGAATTATCCATGTTGAGCAGAACCAGGAGTAGATTTCTAACACTTTCAGATTTACTGACACGCCACAGGGAGATCAGCATGGATAGGGAGAAAGAAATCTTTTTTAGGCCAAGCAACTTTAATCCAGGCCATTTCCATGTAGTTCTCTTGGAAAGAAAGGCACGTGTTAAATTTCTGCAGCAGAACTATCTTGATGGTTTTCTGCAGGGTGAATTTCTGACAGTGGTTCTGAGTAGGCAGCTCTTTACAACCACCACTGCATAAGCTCTACCTGCCACCATCTCTTAGAAAGGTCTCTCCATGTTTCCTTTGGCTATGAGAAGTATTGAAGTGTTTCACAAGACCACTGTCCCAACTGGATGCTGCTATCCCCTGCCTATTCACATTTCAATTAGCTCTTCAGTCTGAGCTTCCTCACCAAAGGAGAGCTGACAAAGTAACAGTCATTATGCTACTTCCAGTGAGTATGAACTATGTCATAAGCTGTGAAAGGCAGGCTTTTTCCAACCCATATACACCTGTGAAACAGCAGCCTTGTCCAATAAATGTCAAAGCCACAATATTTTTTGCTTTCACTTCAGTCTTTAGAAAGAGTTCTTTTCCCAGAGATTGTTTCTGTACTTAAAGAGGAACAAAAGCATATTTAATGTCTACAGAGTCATGTGTTGCTCCAGAAACAGAGAAAAAACACAGAACTTCATCACAACGCTTTAATACCAGTCTCTGCCCTCAGCAGTTTTATTTAAGCCAGCTGAAACAATCTTGATCCTGCCCATCATTTTGCAATATTACACTTTTGAGCCCAGACCTGTGTTTGTCATCCACTAAAACAGTCTTCTGAACAGTTCATAAAATTCAGTGGTAGGGATCCAAAAGCTGTGGCTGGGGTTATAGGAAGTACAAGTGTCAGAGAGCTGAGCATTTCAGGAAGAAGAACAGGAGGTGAATTGCATGGGGGTGTGAGGAGAGGTAGTCAGTCACACGCAAGGCAGGCCCATGGCACTTAAAAACCACAAAGCTATCATCTTGTGTGTAGAGTTACTGGATTTCAAAGCAGTTTTTACAGAACCTGCCCTTATCCTTTTTTCTTCATGTATCTTCTGCTTTCTTTAAAAATAAATTTAAAAAGGAAAAGGAAAGAAAAAAATTAAAAGGAGCCGCTATGTTTAAATTTCTCCTACCACAAAGTTGATTTGACAAACAAGGCGTAAGTCCAGCACATAGAGAAATCCTTTCCATTCCCATGGGCTTCTGACTTTTCCTATGAGACTGCACTATTTATGTAAATATACTTGGAGACACTTTCTATAAGCTTTTAGTTTTCTATGATCTATTATTTTAGCGTTTATTAAAGATACAAACTTATAGAACTATTAAGCATTCAGGTGAACACAACAAAGAAGGAACACTGCAAACATAAAATGGTTCTGGATTTTGACACAAAAAAAACTCTTCAGAATCACTGTACCGTTTTAATTCTGTGATCTCTTTCATTGCTTTGAAAAAATTAACCTTAAAAGAAAGGCCTTATAATAAATGCTATGTGCATCTTATCTGTGTTACTGAGCGAAATCAATCTGGCAAACTCCTATTGCGATTTGTGATTTTTTTAAACCCTTTAAAATAAATGCTTTTTGGTATTGATTTTTTTTTTTTTTTTAATTAAAAATACTTCCAAGCATAAATTGAAAATGATGCCTCCACCTGGGAAGATTTACTCACTGGCATGCTCCAGCCACTCAGTCTCTCATGATGTCATTCCCTGGTTGTGCCAAGGGAGCCTCAGCATTGGATGGATCTGGTCATTGCTCAGCAGGCAGGGACATCTGTGGGTGACAATTTTGTCATCCAAGAGGTTTACACCTAGAACTTCCCTGTATTGCAAAGAGACCCATGCTGGAATGATTATCTCTTCTGCAGCGTGGATGGGCAATTTGTTTTTGTCAGATGGAAAGTGTGCACTCTCTCCCTTATATTTCCTGTTCACTGTACTGGCTTCATTTTTTGGGGTTGGGGGGCAGGGGGAAATGAAATTTAAGGATTTGATGAGAAACCAATTTGAACAACAATTTCTCACAGACAGAGTGAATTTGCCTTTTTGCAAATTGATTTTTGTAACAAGTTATTTATATGATATTACTTAATAAATTGTTTTTTCTAACTTGTTTTTTTTTCTAATTTTCTCAAACTATGGTATGTATTTACAACACTATCATAAATATAATCCTTTAAAAAGATTCTCCAATCACTTTAAGACAAAGGGCTAAATTGACTCAGTCTTTGAAATTCCATTCTTAAGTATCTGGCTTGCACCATGCTATGAAAGCAGGAGGATCACTATTCTGTGATCATTGAGGCCTCCCAAGAGTGGTGTAATTCCAGAAGGCATCATTTAGTGATGCTTACTACAAGGAGGATATTGGTCTATGATCACAAGCCTAATTTTGACTAACCAAGGTTTGCCAGGAAGGCAGCAGAAGATTTGTCAAGGTAAAGCATGCAGAATGCCTTTATTTAAGCATATAAAGATCACATAATTTATAATAACACTGTTCAGTTATTTGTCTTTCATCATGTGAGATTAGAAAAAAAATGTAGTCTCTTTGCACTTATGGAGAGTCCAAATGTCATTTGCAGTATCTTTTTACATAAGAACAACCTCCAGAGAAAATTCTTCATTTTAATACTCCCTTAATAGAAGAGCTGTCTATATCCTCAGAAATTCCATCATATTTAAAGGAAAAGGACAAAGAAAAGGGTGGGAAAGGTCACAGCAAACTAGCACTTAATCAAAAGCATTAGAACGAACCACAAAATCAAACAGTTTAGCACTCAAACCCATGTGGGGTTCATGAAAGGACTGAGTAAGTTCTGTAACAGATGATAAATCAGCCCAAATATCCACCTGCAATCCTTGGTGGAGCTCCAGAAGAAAACCTCTGTATGAATAGCCAAAAAACACCGAGCTTTTAAAAACAGTAGGAGATCACAAGGATGTAAATACAAAAGTCTACACAGTTTTTATTTACCTCCTTATATGCACACCAAGCCAGGGAAACTGCGCTGAGCAGGGGGATGCACCTACTGCCCACCCACACCCTTCAGCAGGGGCACACACACACACACTCGCAGGTGCCAGCACAGAGAGGCTGCAGTGACCCCATCTCTCACCTCTGTTACTTTGTGCATCAGAGCAGCCCTACAAAACATCAGATTGAGCTTTTCATCTTCTAAATAATGGCAGTAGCAGCAGAAGACATCCTGGGTGTCCAGTCTCTGCAACCCTCCACATGTGCTGAGAGAAGAACCACTTATCTTATTTGACTTACTATATCAAAGAGTACTTCAGTCATAAAGAAAATTCAACTAAAGGATAGCTTTTCAGCCAGAAAATGTATTTGGTTTTCCAGCATTAATTTACCAGGTTTGTCTATGTAAAATTACACCTCTCAACAACGAGCAACACATCATCCACAACCCCTGCAGATATTCATCTGTCATTAATACTACCAAAGTCATCACAGAGATAAGTCATCTAGACAAGCCAGACAAGCCATTAAAGTCAACAGCATTTTACATTTTTTAAGTTCTTGTTGAATTTGTCTCCTCCTCCTCTGCCTCTCTGCTCCAGTCTTGTGAAACCCCACTGGAGTGCTGCATCCTGCTCTGGGATCCCCAGCACAGGAAGGACATGGGCCTGTTGGAGTGAATTCAGAGAAGGGGACACCAAGATGACCAGAGGGATGGACTTCCTCTCCTGAGATGAAAGGCTGGGAGAACTGGGATTGTTCAGCCTGGAGCAGAGAAGACGTGACCTGATTGTTACCTTCCAGTACCTGAAGGGAGCTGGAGGGACAAGAAAGATGGGAAATGATTTTTTACAAGAGGAGGTGGGGACAGGACAAGGGGAAATGGCTTCAAACTGAAAGAAAGTAGGTGTGTTTAGGTTAGATGATAGGAAAAAATTCTTTACTGTGAGGGTGGTGAGGCACTGGAGCAGGTGTCCCAGAGAAGCTGCGATGCTCCACCCCTGGAAATGTTCAAGACCAGGCTGGATGGAGCTCTGACAACCTGGTCAAGTGGAAGGTGTCCCCCATGCCTCTGGTAAGGGGTTTGGAACTAGATGTTCTTTAAAGTCCCTTTGAATCCAAGCTATTCTGTGATTCTATAAAAAGAGCAAACATTTAAGATGCTTTAATACTTGCATAAAAATTGCAGGAATGATCACTTAAATGAGCAGCCAAGTGAATTCAATGTTGGTTCTTCCAACCTTATTTTGTATTCCTTTCCATGCTGTAAATGAAATTTGAGTTTGTTGGATAAGGAACAAATTTTTAAAAAAGTCCCGACATACTCTTATCCAAAATCTTTGAAGCTTTTCCTCTTTCTTGCCAATACTAGTACATTTTTCTGATTGTACTACAGACCGTTATTAGCAAATACCCACTCTGCATTTTTCTCAAAACCAACTGCTACAACTCGTAGTTTTTCAGCAGCTGTCTATCTCCACATCAGATCCTCAAACAACTCTGTCCCTCCAATCAGAAGGGCTGATTCCACGTCCTTTATTCCCCACACAGAAGCAACGTGAGCATCATCAGAAGTCCTCAGTCACTCACTATTTCTAACTGCTCCAACACTCATTACACTTTTTTTACTTTGGCAAACCAGAAAGTGCACAAAACCATTTTTAGTTTTACTAGTTGTGGAGACACTCGGCCTGATAGGACCTTATCATCATACCCTACTTTATTTAAGCAAAAGAGAAACAAACTTACCATGATCAAGAGAACAGAGTGGAAGACTGTATGCAAGAGGACATGCTAATCTGAAAATTCGAAAAACCTTCGGGGCTGTTTCTTCTTTACATAAGGAAAACAAACAAACAAACAAAAACCCAAAACCAAAAAAAAATCAAGCCAACAACTCTCCCTTTCCCCCACCTCCCCAATCAAACAAAAAGCTAAAATCCCAGGAATCCCCTAAATATAGTTTTCCTTGTACCCCTTGTTGGAATTTTGCCTTTCTTAACTCAGAACTTTGGCTGGCTGGCTGGCTGCTCATGCATGCATCTTAATTAATAACCAAATGTATAAATCCCCTCCTGATTGCTTTTACATGTTTTTCTAAACATCTGCTTCTACCTTCATTGTTAGACAAAGCTGCTCTCTTCTACAGCTCAGCTGGGGAACTTATTTCCCTCTCTCTCAGAGTGCAATTGGGTATTTCATGTCAATTATCTTAATTGGAAGCAAGCTTAACCCATTTCCCAATTACAGCTCCAGCTTATTAGAACAAACAAACTCTCAAACCTCCTCTAATAAAATAAACCGAAAAACGCCCCCAAAGAACAAACCTAAACTTTGGTAACGAGACATTGAAAAGAGGACTGAATAAAAGAGCTCTAGTAAGGGAAAAGTGAGTAAGCTGCTGTAGGGGTGTGGGTCTGACTGGCTTGATCTCCAACGCAGCATTCCCTTAAGTCTGTTTTGTGGGAGCTCACAGAGAGAGGACTCCTCAGCCTGGCACTGCTTCATGTACTTTCATCCCCCACACACCAAGGTGTAGCTGTCAGGACAAAAAAGAGGTGCATCTTTGTTTTGCCATGCTGGGCATTGCGATGGTCTAGCTTTCTTTAACTAAGTACAGAGACAGGTTCTCTCTACCCCTCCTTCTCACACTGCTCCCAGACTTCATCACTCGTGTTCAAACAGACATCGACTTAATGACCTCTGCCAAAGACTAAAAGCCTAAAGAGAAAAGTCATCCAAGACAAGAGGGCCAAGCCACCTGCTCCTGCTATGAGTTATGGCTTGGTTAGCCACGGCTCTTCACATGGCCTTCACTCTCTCGCTTGCCCATTTTCTGTTCCAGTGTCAAACCCACACCAGACTTATCCTTTATTACACATCTGTGAAAATAACAGATTAAAACCATTCCATTTGGCTTCCCAGGGATGTCATCACCTTTTGGAGTAGCATCCACCTTTTAAGCACACACTGGATACTAGTCTAAGGAGCTATGTGTAGAAATTATTCCACATTTTATACTACCTATTTGCACAGGACAAATGGTCCAAACATTTAGGCCATGAAGTTGTAATATTCTTTCCCACCTGCAGCATCTGCCAGGTACTGATCCAATGATGAGTGTTTTCCCCTTGCCAAGATTACATGTTCAGAGATATTGATTATGATGATATTTTGATTTTGTTGTTTTCTGGTATTGTCAACATTTCTCTAAATAATTTCTACAGTTGTTTTTTAGAAACAAATAAAAGTCAAAATATACTTTTGAGATTCACCGCTCTAATATCTTGGTATTTAATCAACCTGTAATATCATATTGATTACAAATACCATGGAGACAAGATATTGGTGCTTGTCTTTAGAGCAAGTACTTCATGTAGCTCTTTATTGCAAAAAGGGCCTTTCAAATGTTTTCCTACCAAATATCCATCTGGCCCATGGGCTCTCTCACTTTCACAGTCAAAATTTTATCATTGATCCTGGCAGAAGGGAGATGGGACTCCTGAAAGGCAATGCAGCTTAACTCTTTGAAGAGCAGCACAAAGTGCAGCATAGGACAAAAAGGGACTTGGATTGTACATGTTTCTCCTGAGAACTATGAAATTAAATAAACATGTGTGAACAAAGATCTCTGGCAGGAAGGTCATGACACATAAAACATGGTGCCAAGCATTCAGCATTCCGTGTTACTGCCTATTAACCCTTACCTTGCAAAAACAAAACAAAACTCTCATTGTATGTAAGCTGGGACATCACTGAACCCTGTCAGCTGTCTGCTTTCTCGCTCTCAATTCCTCTCCACTGGAAGGTCATGCCTTTCCTGCAGGCAATACTTGCTTTGTGCCAGCTCTGGTCTCCCCTCCTGCATCCCCAGCCTCCAGACCAACTGGACCAAAGCTGAACTGCAAACTTTTATTTCATTAAGCTCTTGTTCTTACATCTCCTTTCTTTTATCCTCTACCTACATACTTTCATAAACATTTCACCATACATTAACTATTTTTATATATATATATATATATATATAAATCTTTTGTGCTAATGGTTGCACAGTCTTGCTTATCTTACTTTTCCTTATCTTTTTAAATCCTGACAGGTACTTTACCCATGCTCTGATTTACCCCTGCAAGTG